CGGTTTAGGGGCCCCAGTGGCGGTGGAGGCGGTCGAGCCAGGTCAGGGTGGGAGAGCTCCATGGCCATGGTAGAGCTCTGCTGAGAGGGGGAGAAGGCAGCCACCGCGGGTGTCCTAGTGTTTCACGGAGCTCCGCGGCCACCGCTAGGTCGCCCGCATCGGCGGGAGAGGGCAGCAGCGGGGGTGATGAAAGGGTCGAGATGGCAGACTAGAGGGGGGTGAATAGTCTTTTCTAAAATTAATCGCGTCGGCTAATCGATATAAATGCGGAATTAAAACAATCGGTCTAGCCAAGACTACACCCCTCTATATATGTTCACTAGCACCTTGCAAAGATACTAATAAAGCAACTAAGGTGCCGGGCTAGCTAGAGCTCTCCTAAACAATTCTAGGAGCAAGGTCACACAAACCTATGCCACTAGTACTTTAAGAAACAAGGGAGCTCCTACACATGCTAGTAAGCAAAAGCACAAAGCTAACTAAGCTCACTAGCAATGCTCAATAACAAGGCAACCAACGGCTAATTAGAGAGCGCAAAAACTTAGCTACACAAACTAAGCAATGTGACTAACAAGGTTACTAAAACCAAATTAGCCACGCAAGGGAGCTACTTCTATGCTACACAAGCAAGAAGGTAATTAGCTAGCTACACAAGCTATCTAATTACAAGAGCAACTACACAAGCTTAAGATATATAAAAGTAATTGCAAGCTTGTGTAATAGGGATGCAAACCAACGGGAAGAACAAGGTTGACACGATGATTTTTCTCCCGAGGTTCACGTGTTCGCCAACACGCTAGTCCCCGTTGTGTCGACCGCTCACTTGGTGGTTCGGCGGCTAATTAGCATCACCCGCTAAGCCCGCACGTCGGGCACCGCAAGAACCTACCCCTTGAGTGAGGGTAGCTCAATGACACGCTTTACTAAAGTTGCTCTTCGCGACTCCATGGGCGAGCACAAGTACCCCTCACAAGCACTTCTCGGGAGAGCGCCGCACAAGCTTCTGCGCGCTTCGACGGAGACCACCACTAAGCCGTCTAGGAGGTGGCAACCTCCAAGAGTAACAAGCACCACCGGCTTGCAACACGACCACCTAGTGCCACTCGATGCAACCTCACGATGCAATCGCGCTTAGAATCGCTCACTCACACAATCGAATGATCACTATCAAGTATATGTGTGATGGAGGACTCCCAAGCACTCACAAGCATGGACACTAAGTCCCTTGAGGTGCTCAAGATCACGACCATGGCCGAGGGCCACTTCTATTTATAGCCCCAAAGGGCTAAACTAGCCGTTACCCCTTCATCTGGCAACGGTCGGGCTGACCGGGACGGACTCCGGTCGTGTTGACCGGACGCTGGACCTCGGCGTCCCGTCGCATGCAGACGGCCACCCGTGTCTCGATTCCAACGGTCACTTGACTTGACCGGACGCAGAAGACTATCAAGCGACCGGACGCTGAACCCCGTCGTCCGGTCGTTTCAAAGTCTGTACCGACCTCGGCCGGACGACGCGTCCGGTCACTTGATCGGACGCAGCCGGCGTCGGTCACCTCCGGCTTCTGCGTCAACGTCGTCGGCTGACCGGACGCCGCGACTGCTGCCAGCGTCCGGTGCATTCAGATCCAGCGTCCGGTCAGTTGACCGACGCCAGCATCTTCGCGACTAACTCGTTTTCATTTCTAACTTCATCACCCTTGCTCCAATGTGCTAACCACAAGAACTTGCATCCGATGCAATAGAAAATAGGCATTCTATTTTCCTAAAAGCGCCGAATCATCTCACCCCTGCAAACACCACCTCCTTTGTAAATGTGCCAACACCACCAAGTGTACACCACCATGTGTATGTGTGTTAGCATTTTCACAATCATTTCCTAAAGGATGTTAGCCACTCAACTTGCCACGCCACTCGATCCTAGCGACAATGCAAAGTTAGATCACTCGAGTGGCACTAGATGACCGATATGCAAACAAGTTTGCCCCTCTTGATAGTACGGCCATCTATCCTAAACCCGGTCATAAACTTCTCTACACACCTATGACCGGTGAAATGAAATACCCTAGGTTATACCTTTGCCTTACGCATTCCATTCCATCTCCTTCAATATCGATGCAACACATGCACCAACACGATCAACAATGATATGATCTACTTCATATCATCACATGATCATATTGGTTCATCGATCTTGACTCTACTTGCCCTTCACCGTTGCCATCGTCCATCGGCGCCAAGTTTTGCTCAAGCTTCACCGCCACGCGGTCCATCACTCCAAAGCCTTTGACTTGCCCTTCACACTTGCAACCGGTCCATCAAGCCAAGTCTTGTCTTGATCTTCTCCACCTTGATCACATGACTCAATGTCATGTCTCATGTGCAATAAGCTCCTTCATCATCACATGTGTGAGCTTTGCAACATCTCCAAGCCATTTTCACCTCCATGGCATATGTTGCTCATACACATGTACCTGTGGACTAATCACCTGTGTATCTCACATAAACACAATTAGTCCACCTAGGTTGTCACTCAATTACCAAAACCAAACAAGGACCTTTCATCGTGTTCCTAGCACTGAAAGTTTGTAGTAGGGGGTACAAACGGAAGAGAGAGGAAAAGGATCCCAAGTCTCTGGTGAAAGGAGTGAACGGGTGCTGAGAGCTCGATTGCTGCTCAGCCGAGTGCTCATGTCGTGCTTCTTGTGTCGATCTCGATTGATCAGTTTTAATCGGATCGGCCCCCTTCATGGGACGCCCTGCTTTCTCTTTTATAGGCCAAGGAAAAGCACAGGTTACAGCGGAGAAAAAGAGAAGAACGAGAGAGAGAGAAGAAGTCCTTCAAGATCGCGGGGTCCTTTTTATCCTTCATGTGGGTCCCGCACGACCCTGTAAATGTCAATAGGGACAGCTCCGCGTCACGGCCCTGTCCGTTACTGGCACCATACGTAGGCGTCGTCTGTTGGTCATGGCGTTCCATTCCGTCGCAGCGGACGTTGTGGTGAGCTAACGCGCCTGTCAGCGTTCGTACGGGGGTTAGGGTAGAACAGCACCGGTACGCCCGACGCTGTTCTTGATGTGAATCCTCAGGTATGGTCCGTCATGGCCACAGGTTACATCAGGGCGTGCCGGTCTCTTCCTTGGTGTCAGAGTTTTGACCTAGGCCCATACGTTGGGACCTGGAGTGGTTGGCAGTGGTATGGGTCCCTGTCGGGTGAGGTGGAGCCCGTGGCCTCGGGGTCGGGCGAGGTGGAGCACAAACCCAAGGGTCGGGCGAGACGGAGCCCGCCCTCAGAGGTCGGGCGAGGCGGAGCACAAACCCTAGGGTCAGACGAGGCGAAGCCCATGGCCTCGGGGTCGTGTGAGGCGGAGCACAAACCCAGGGTCGGGCGAGGTGGAGCCCGTGGCCTCGGGGTCAGGCGAGGCGGAGCACAAACCCAAGGGTCGAGCAAGGCGGAGCCTGCGGCCTTGGGGTCGGGTGGAGCTATAGTCGCGCTCTTGACTGCTCGGATGAATCAATGTTGATGGTCATTAGCTCCTCTCTTCGGATACCCTAGTATTGGTCCCTGACAGTGGCCACTGGCTAGGATGGAGTAGGGGGAAGGGAGCGCATGAAGAAGGGCGTGCGAGGTTGAAGACGACCGTGCGTTAGCTTAACGCACACATGATTGTGCGTTAGCCAAGTCTATTAAATTGCCGATATTTTGATGTCGCTTTTGAGTTTTACACTAACAGAATTAAATTTCTGTAGCTCGTTGGTATAAAATTGACTCTTTCATTTGGACGAATATAAAATTAGGTCATGTGATAAATTGCATGGTCAGGACGATATGTAATCTGGATCATCTCATCTCGTCCAACACAAAACGAGTGTACATGTTTCCCTCCTCCTTCCTCATGTAGATTGAGGTTCCATCCTAGACTTCCCCCAACACATGAATTTCTCTAGAATACGCACCTTTTTGTCCAGAAAACAATACAATTGTAGAATAGCAACAAGTTAAACAGCTTTGAGTTTCACCAAAATTATAAAAATATATTAATATTTATTATACAAAATAAGTATTAGTACATTCATAATAGAATATATCTTTATAATATTTCTATTTTATGTCATACGATTGATGATATTTTTATATAAATTTAATTAAAGTCAAGTAGTTCGACTGAAAAAGAGAACAAGGAGACGTCCGGTAATTTCGTGTGAACCTGGCAGGGCACTTGCAGCTACAGCAATTTCGAAAAGTCAACGGGTGGAAAAGCCGGACGCACCGAGCCAGGTGCCACAAATGGCCGTGCCGCCGTTGAACAAAGGTTGTTCATGGAAGAGCCCATACGCTGTCAGACAGGTGGGCCCAGACGTCGCCCTCGGTCTCCACGCGCGCTGCTGGCGCTGGGGCTGGAGAATGCCAGCTTGGTCAACTCTTGGACACCACAACCACAACCCGGCCCCAAGTCCACACAGCCCCCAACCCCGGTGCCGCCGTGCCGGTAGTAGTAAGAAAATAAAGTCCGTCGCTGAAAGCGAAAGCGACCGCTCATCGCCTGCTTTTGACTGCTTTGGTGATGGGCGGGCCCCCACGCACCCCGCCCGACACGATACTTTAAAGCGCGTATTGATGCCGTGCCCATCCCCTGTCCGTTTCTTTGACTTCTCGTCTTCTTCCAAAGGGAACCTGATGCTATGCGGCGACCACTTGAAAGCAAATCACCCCCCTCAAATTTCACTTTGTGGTGTGGATCATATTCCTACAATTATAACTAATTCCTGAGAAATTCACGCGTAGTAATTATAGAATATATATAAATCTGTAATAAGCTTGGAGAAAATTCATGGCGAATTCAAGTTTAGAAGCTCCTTAATTTCTTTATTTACAGAAGCAAAGCTTGAGAGATCTACCACTAATTAATCCAAAGAACAAATCAAACAAGAGCGGACTACTACTACTAGTACTGATGATTGACTACAGCTGCTACCGACGGCAAGCAAACGATCTTCATTCAGGCCACGCGGGATCGGACGGCGCCGGCGGCGTCGTGGCGGTGGTCGCCCTCATAGGTGACGACGAGCATGGCCGGGTCGTCGGCGGCGCGCTCCACGTGCTTCCGCGCGGGGCAGCCCTTGGCGCTGCTGCACCGGTAGTAGCCGCGCGGGTAGGGGGACCCCTTGATGGGCTTCTGCCCGTACTTGCGCCACGAGTAATCGTCGGTGGGGATGTCCGACGACGCCGGCACGTGGGACCCCAGCGCCGCTGCCGCGGCCGCGGGCACGCGCACCGTGCGCCGGGACACACCCTGCCGGCTCCGCTTCTTCTTGGAGCAGTGGCAACGCCCGCCGGCGCCGGCGGACTCCGTGGGGTGCTGGTGCTGGTGCTGCTTCGCCTGCTGGGGAGCGGCGGCGGTGGAGGAAGGGCACGGGAGCTTGCGCTTCGGGAGGGGAGGCTTGCCGGAGGACACGGCGAGGCTGCAGCCCTTTGACACGCTCCCCTTCGCCGCCGCCCGCGGTCACGGACGACAGGAACGAGGTCGAGGTCCCGGACACGGCCGGCGCCGCCGCCGGGACCGGGACCGGAACCGGCTTGGTGAAGTCCAGCGTCAGCAGGGCCTTCTTCTGCGGCGGCTGCGGCTCCACCGCCGCTGCCGCCTGCGACGCGGCCTGGAGCGTCGTCTCCGTCTCCATGGGCTCCACCACCGCGGCGACGGCGACGGCGGGCGCGCGGCGGAACCGTGCGTGCCCCGTGCGGTCCAGCAGGTTGATGACCCGGCGGAACCGGGACACCGCCTGGTCCGCGATCTGCCCGAGCGGCGGCGACTCCGCCCGCTGCCCCGCGGCGCACGGGGACGACAGCGAGGAAGCCAGCAGCTCCAGGCTGCGGAGCCCCGCCGCGGCCGCCTCCTGGAACGCCAGCTGCTCGTACGCCCCGGCCCCGCCGCCGCAGGACATCAGGTCCACCGCCATGGCTTGCCTGCTCTGCTGCCTCCTTCCGGCCTTGGGGCTCGTTGCTTGGAGTTGGAGGTCAGATCCGCGCGGTGGTGCTGCTGCTGCTTTCTTGTTCTTGTGGCTTCTTGGGTTGTGGGATTGTGAGGTGGGAACAGGTGGTGGGGGGTGGGATTTATAGGTGGAAATGGGGAGGAGCTGAACGAGAGGACCAAATACTAGACGACGAGCTGCCCGCCGGGGCTGTGCAAAGTCAATGCCTTGTTTCTCCTTTTTTTTTTCTCCACCCAACCATGTTCTAACTTCTGACTCAGATATCAATCTTGGCTTTTTCTCAGGCACCACCTTGTGTTACATAGTTATTACAGTATCCGACTACTCCTTCTGGGCATAAATGTCCGACTACTCCTTCTCTCCATAAATGTCCGTCGCCATAATTTGTGTGTAGATAATTTTTACTCGATTTACAGAAAATATGTGCAATATTTTTATCTCCAAATAAATTTATTAAAAAATTAGATTTAAATATTTATCCAATAATACTAATTATGTATCATAAATATTAATATTTTTTAATATATATTAAGTCAAAGTTATTTCTCGAAAAACGAAAACGATAGATATTTAGGAATCGGGTGACTACATGCAAGTGCACTGAACTTCTCTATAAACAAAAGTCGGGAAGTTACTTTTGCGAATCCGTGATTATGAAGTTTGTGTTTTACTTTCTTGAGTTGAGCATCGGATTCTTCTCTAGTGACACGTAGACGGGCTCCGACTTCATGGTATCCTTTCCATAATTCACCCTAGAAGCATTTTAAATTAAATGGCCTGCAAGTATGGTTTTTTAATACGGGCCTAATTAGAAATCGAGGTAAATAACAGGGTCCAACGCAAAAAAAAAAAACATGGCGTACTATGTGCACTAGAGGTGTGATCCATGTTCCGGAGTTGCTGCACTTTGGAAATAACGATGCAACGCTTTCTTTATGGGCCTCTTCTCCAGATTTGGTAGTCGGTACACCGAGACTTTGAATGTCAACTCTAATATGGATCAAAACTCAACAGTTTGGAAAATGGTTTCGAGATCCCCTAGAACAAAGATAAGCATATACTCCTCCTGTTCCAAAATAAATCAATTTTAGTAGTTGTCTGAAGTCAAATTATTTTTGGGTTGAATGGATTTATAGAAAAAAGTCAATATTTATAAAACCAAAATAATGTCATTAGATACACCATGAAATATGTTTTTATAATATTCTTGTTTCGTGCCATTGATATTAGTACTCTCTGCAAAGTTAGATCGTTTAGAATAGTTTGCCTTAGGACAACTATAGAATTAATTTATTTTGGAATGGAAAGAATATAATTTATTGAAGACAATGTTACATACTGCATACAATTAGTACGTATCTTGCAACTTGACAACATGCTATTCAGCTATTGCACTTTGATTTTGGTTAATTAGCTCCTCTTCTCATCCACGAATATAAATACTTCTAGGATTTTCATGCAAAACAAGAGGTGGAACAGGAACAAAAAAAAGAGTGATGTGAATTGATGATATAATTAAATCAGTAAAGTTGGATGTCTAGAAGAGCTAGAAGTTCTTATATTCGTGTTCAAATAAAAAAGCTCATAATAATCATTACACTTGTGGACGGAGGAAGCCGTAGTTAACTATAAAGTCAAAGTTTTGTGTGCTCTCTCCGGTCTCCAGCTCGTTAATTAAAAGTCAAAGTTTTAAAGTTTTAGGGTGATCTCTCTCTAGCTCGGTTCCACACGCCATCGTCGTCCTATGTGTAGTAGTTTAACCGTTGAAATCTGCCACATGATTTCTTGCGCTTGGCGTGTGGAGGATGATGAGCTTGAATCCAGGAGAGGGGAACAGAGAGAGAGAGAGAAAGAGGGTCAATGGATCTAGAAGAGCGTTCGTATTCGTTCTCGTTCTTCGGCCGGCCGGCCGGCCGGCCAGCCAGGGCGCTTCCGTTTGAACGGGCCGTGTCCATCGTGCCGTGCATGTAGTACATGTATATACATATACATACTCCTATACATAAATATAAATACAAAATGTACAGTTGTGTACAGCCGCACAGGTCGATTGGTCCCGTTGCTGAACCGGTCAGTTTTGTAGCTTCCTCGACCCTCGTGCAGTGCATGCGACGACGACTGCTCGGTCGCCTGCTTAGCCGGCTGCCGGTCCTGCGTACCGCTCGCTGATTTCGTGTGAGAGAAAAATACTATTTGTTGACTGAAAAAATATGGCTGATAAGTCAAACAAGCCCAAACAAACAGGACGCTGGTCGGCACTGCCGCCAGCAGCTCATCACTCTTCCTCCAGAGTCCAGACCGTCACGCTAAGGATCTCAGCGACCGAAATAGGTTCATGTCTTTTTTGTTCAACGGTAATTATTGGTAGAGGGCGTATATCTGTGCTGGACGCTAGAGATGGTGGGCCGCCCGTGCCAGCCAACAACTACCTTTTATGTATTCATCCACTCCTCCAATCCGTTCTTAAAAAAAATTTACCACGACCGCGCTCCGCTGTGCTGCCTCAGCGACCGCGCGCTCCACCGTGCCTTCGCTCCGTCGGCCGACATCTCCACCGTGCCAAATCCCGTCTTCCTCCCTCTCCACCGCGCTCTCGCCCGCCGCGGCCTTCTAGTACGCGTCGACCCGCCACGGCTTTCTCCACCGTTGCGGCGACCTCTACACCAGTGAACTCCACGCACCGACGAGCCTCCATTCCGAAACAGCAAGGAGATATTGAGTTGAAAACGCATGTTGCAAGCGTGTGTTTCAAGTGTTTTCAGACGTTTCAGATGTATATTGCAAGTGTTTTATGCGGATGTTGCAAAAGTAGATCCAGATATTACATATGTTGCAATTATTTCAAAGGCATTGCAAGCGTTTGTTTAAAATATTTTATCTGTTTCAGAGGTATGTTGCAAGCGTTTCGATCTGGATGTTGCATACATTTCACATATATATGTCGCAAGAGTATGTTCGAAATGTTTCAGCCTTATATTGCAATAAGTGTTTTCATATTGTAAGTTGCAAGTGTTTTATCTGGATGTTGCATATGTTTCTTTTTTTTAGGAGATATTGCATATGTTTCACACATGTAGCGCGATTTGTGGCTCATCTGGTATTGTAGCGCGGAGCCCGAGCCTCAAAGAGCTCAGCCAAAATCTTACCAAAGCTAGAGGGCCTTACTTGGGCCCATTTGGCTGGGCTCCTTCTGGCTCCGGCTTAGTGCTACAGTGGTCGAGGAGCCGGAGCCAGAGGAGAAAAAAAATGGTAGCTCCTCCTGGCTCCTAGTCCATTTAGATAAGAGAGAAAAACGGCTCTAATAAATAGTACCATAAATAGTGTGCGATTTGGAGGAGCCGGAGCCCCTTGAGCTCTCCCAAACGCCCTCTAGATCAAGTTTGATAGGGCTCTAGTTCTAGGAAATATGTGGATTTTCTAGAGTTGGTCATATATCTTTAGAAAATCTTTGGTCTAGAGCTGTAGGCATGTTAGATGCATTTTTATGACTTGTTTTATTTATATTTTATATTAAGTAAAAATATTTAAATCACTTTAATTTAGTCTATAAATTATAGATGCAGAGTAGATGTCGGAGCTAGAGTTGCGCCAGACTCTTACTCGTATGCTTCGGTCCATTCTCCTTGGCCTTTTGCCGGATGGTCCATAGAAAACCCATGCTGTCTGTGTGACTGAAACGGTCAGCCACTCAAATGCTTTGGATGCAGCCAAGACCTATATATATAATCAGTAGGTGTTGTCCGTTTGTTAACTGGTTTCGTAACCACTCCAAATGCCAAATCAGCCTTGGACCTGAACCAATAAATTTAAGACGAGCTAGAAAAAGCGTCTGAATAATCAACAGGAGGATTATTGAATTCAGCTAGTAGCCTTCAGATTAAGAAGTAGGCTTGTCAAACTAGCCTGCCTGCACCTGCTCATTCAGAAATCCAGTTGCGGACGGACTAGGATACTGGCAACAAAGGTCAAGCAGTCGTCAACTTCTTAAAAAAAACAAATAAAAGAAAACATGCATGTCCCGTCAGCTAAAGCTCAAACGATCGAACATGCATAGCTAGAGGTTAGTAGAGTTGGACCTAGATATACAATGAGACCTACTCGTTGACAAAGCCACTAACATCATCATGCTTATTTTGTTTGCTTTCAATTTGAGTAATCCTCCAGCTTTCAATAAAAAATAATTTTAGAAGACAAACTCTTTCTAATTAATAGAGACGGACATTTCAGACGTCGTCTTTAAAAGTGGCAAAGCTGGCTATAGAGTCAGGACATCCTATGCCAGCCACCACTATTAACCATCGATTCAAGGTCAATTTATTAGGACATATACCTTTGTTAATCGATTAGTAAAGACTGTTTAGATCTCTTCATAGTGCCTGCTTCTAGAGGTAGTGGACTTAAAAATAATTCATAACATGCATTTTCATATGAAGTTAGATGAAGAACAATTTTATAACAAAATTGTTGAGTTCGATGAGATCTACAATTTTGTAGTTGACAACTTTTTTATTTAAAACTATTTAGAGTAAAAAAATATTTGAATTTCTAAAATTTTGTAATTTAAAATTTATTATTTTCAAATAGGCTCAGATGTTAACATAATCTATACCAAAGTTGTAGTTTTCAATGCGATCTACAATTTTGTAGTTGAACTTTTTTTTTGTTGAAGTCTTTTACGACACCGCCAAATATGTATTTTTAGTTTACATATTTTCGAATTCAAAATTTGGAATTTGTAAAGGACCGCAAATGTTGACATGGTCACAGAGTTGCAGTGGTCAAAGCGGTCTACAACTTTGCAGTTATCAAATTTTTTTATTTAAAGTCATTTAGAGCCACAAATAATTGTTTTAAGTTCTCAGATTTTGTTATTTAAAATTTTGAAATGTTCAAACCATCTCGGTTGGAGAGACACCCTATACTAATGTCGTAGTACTTGATTTAAACTTTGTAGTTGAAACATTTTT